ATAGGGAATTCAAGTAGGGTTGCCTATGGACCGGATACATCCTGCCCGCATACCTGAATTCCCTTTTCACTTGTAGCCTACGAATCCCCCTTGGCGGCGGCCATCCACGGACAAGTCCGCGACCTCGGCCGAAGCCGCGACCCCGCGGACACGTCCACGCGGCGCGCGGCGGCCGAAAGGGAGGTCGGTTCAGAATTCTTAAAACGGAAGTCGGCGGCGCATAAGCGTCCCCAGGCCCACGAACTGAAAAAAATAATAATAATAAWAATTTTCTGGGGGGGTCAATTTTTATCCCGTATGAGGGTGAAAAAATAACCCCCCCCCCCCCATTTCGCAAATTTGTCGAAGTGGGGGTGTGTGACGCGTTGTAAGGTACGTGTTGGCGGAAAAAAGAAAAAAATTTCGGCGGTGGTTGGGGGGGTGGGGAGGGGGTTATTTTTGTTGGGGTTTTGTCGTGTGTTGGGGTGGCAAATGGTGTGGGGTTCGAAATTGGTGGGTTGTTGGGGTCCTTTGCGGGGGGCGGGGGGTGTCATTTTCGGGTGCAGGCCTTGGGGGGTGTAGGATTTGGTTGCCGTTTGAGGGTGAAACCTATAATACCAAGCAAAACAACACCCCCCCTCCAACCCCCGATGAAAATTTGTTTGTTTTTGGTATTACCCTACCACCTATCACGCACCCCCTCTTAAAAAAAATGTAGACAATAGGGGGGGTGGTTGTTGTGTTGCTTGGTATTATAGGTTTCACCCTCAAACGACAACCAAATCCTACACCCTACACCTTAGGGAGAGGGGTTCAAAATTGTTGGGTTGTTGGGGCCTTAGAGGTGCGCAGGGTGTCATTTTTGGGTGCATGGACTTGGGGGTGTAGGATTTCGTTGCCCTTTCAGGGTGAAAAAAAAATACCCAGATTTTTTTTTTTTTTCATTCCGTGTTTTTTTATTCATACACAACACATATTCATAATAAATAAAAAACATAACAAACTGAAGAACACAAAAAACTGTCAACCAAAAATGAAAAAAAAAAAATTGTTTTCTTTTTTTTTCTTAATTTTTATTGTGCATCGTTTCGGTTTTTCATTTTTTTTAATTGTATGAAAGTAACGTTTTCCAAACATCAAAATGTGGGGTTACAGAACTTAAAATTCCCTACAACCTCATATATATATATTTACTATTATTTAATTCAAGAAAATTATGGTAAAATTACGTCCGCGGCGCGCACGAGAACCTGTAACACAAGACAGGCCAATCCCCAAGCTAAATCTATGAGTTCGAATCGGGAATAATTTTCATAATCACGATCTCACCAAGAATTATTCTACTTAACTAAGTTTGAGTCTACCTCTAAGTCAATGCCTAAGAAAAAGGTAGACCTTTGGCTTAATCTCCTCTTTATAGAGTGGATTGCCAGAATTGTCATCTGTCAAAATATAATCTAAATCCTCTAAACTAAGAAAATTTCGGTAGCGTTTCCCGTAGGAAAAGTGTCTTTCCATAATTTATAATAACTCAAATATGAAAACAAAACCTAAATTTTAATTATGGAAAGTCAAATTTTGTCTAACTCCCTGAATTAGTAAAAATTTGGGCAACATCTCCTTTCGAAAGGTAGACTTCCCATATTCATACTAAGTCAGATAGAAATTCAAAAGTTAGACTTGAGTTCTACTTCAAGACAAACTTCAACTGACCCCTTAGATTTGTAGAAATTTCGGCAGCACTTCCCGTAGAGAAAGTGTTATTCCAAGATGATACAAAGCTAAGTTCAGAAACTAACATGAATTTGACTTCTCAGGGTCCAATTTTGTCTAACTCCCTGAATTAGCAAAATTTTTGGCAACACTCCCTTTAGAAAAGGAGGTTTTTCATATTTTTACTAAGCCAAAAAGTTAGAAAAACTGGACCTTGAAAACGACAAAATCTGACTAACTTCTTAATTTTATAGAAATTTCGGCAGCGCTTCTCGTAGAGAAAGTGGCTTACCAAGATTTATACAAGACCAAGTATAATAAATGATCCCAGAAAATGCAGAAATCGACCAAAATAAAAATAAACTTAGCTCATAAAATTGAAACGGTATTCACCTGCTAGCAGTAGTGAATGCAGATCCCAGGGCTCGATCCCTAGACTTTACCTTCCCTGTGTATATTACCTGTATCAACCCCGAGAGTTGAACCCATGACCTGTGTAATCGTAACAATTGGTAGGTTGTCGTAGGGTCTGTAGGTTGTAGGGGTTCGATCCGTAGACCTGTCAAGCAGAGATCTTAGCAAGTTCTAGAAGTCGTAGCTGCTACAGTCCCGAAAGGCCAAGTCGTAGCTGCTACAATCCTGAAAGACCAGGTCGTAGCTGCTACAGTCTCGAAAGGCCAAGTCGTAGCTGCTACAGTCCTGAAAGGCTAAGTCGTAGCTGCTACAATTTTGAAAGGTCAGGTCTAGCTGCTACAGTCCTGAAACGCCAAGTCGTAGCTGCTACAATCTCGAAAGGCCAAGTCGTAGCTGCTACAGTCCTGAAAGGCTAAGTCGTAGCTGCTACATTCCGAAAGGCCAATTCCACAGGCTTCCGGAAGGTCCGGAAGTGGCCTTTCAAGTTTCTCCTCACGTTTTACACAGTAGGCCAGAGGTAAGTGGGCAAGTGGTGCGTCAAACTTCGTTTAGTCAGCCGTACCCAGTCCCAGTCTCACTTTGCACAGTCAGCAAGTACCATGAGGGACTGTGTGCACCATGGGCCTTGTGGAAAGAGGCAGACCAACGAGTTACAAGAGTATAAATCAAGAGGCAGCGCCCAACCATTCATTCGGTGGGGTGCCATGCGGAAGTGTTGCACGAGCGTTTGTGCGAGGTGGGATGCAGGAGCCTGAGGTCGAAGTGGGCAGAGGGGAAGTTAGCTGTTAGTGGTAGAGTTAGCAGGCGGCCATAGCCGCCAGGTTAGTAGTAGTGGTGTGTGTGTATGTGTATAGTGAGTGTGCGCGTGTGGGGTATTCAGGGTGATCTAGAGTGGAGTGCATGTGTGCGACAGTGTTAGGCACAGTGACGACAGTGGATGTACAGGGCGTCTGTACGGCATAGCTTGTGGGACGAAGTTTGCATCTGAACTGTGTTCGCGACTTCCATATCTCTGAGTTTTGAGTGGGCGCCTAGCGCCAGCCTGTTTGTCATCTGTTGTATGCATGCAAGTTGATCAATAAAGAGAGTCTGATTGCATTGGTATCGGAGCTGGTACCCGTTACTTCACGCGCCATCGTTGTCAGGCGCCATAGCTGAGCTACGCCAAGAAGAAGGAAGGTTCACCATAACCGCGCCGTCGAAGAAGAAGACTGTTAGCCGTAGCTGTGCTGCGGAAGAAGGCGTCGCGTACCTGCAAGGAGGGACAATGAAGGTGAAGGCGAACATAGCCGGGGGTGACGAAGAAAACAAAGGTGAGGGAGAAGAAAGGTGGCGAAGGTGAGACAGAAGGCAGCGGCAGCCATAACCGAGTTGGCCGGCGATCTTCGCGTTGACCAAGGAGTTGACTGAGCGTTGACCGGAGGTTTGACCAGTGCTGACCAGCGTTGACCAGGCGTTGACCGGAGCTGCTGACCACGAGATTGACCAAACTGGAGTTGGTATATCCTCGCCAAGCCTTCAGCCTATTCCCTCACCCTATGGATGTGCACTTACCCCATGGTACTTGCTGAGTCTGTCTGGCTCTTTTTTCTGCATTGAGTCTCTTATGTCTAGGTGATAGGAACTCCATGGATGAAGGATAGAGCTGCGTTGACCAAACCCACACGAGTTGAGTAGGGCTTAATTCCATGTCTGACGACCGACACGTTCCGGAGGACAAACCCTCCCAAGGACCGGTACTGAACGGTGTGGCACGGGCGGCCCAAAATCCGAGTTGTGGGCTGCACAACCAGCTGTCTAAGTGTTGAGAGGACTTGCTGATCGCGTCGTCTTGTCTGCGACGTTAAACAATTCTTGAGGAGTTATGGGGGATCTCCTTAAATGCCTCCTGATCAGCGAAGAAGTCCTGTAGTGACAGCTTAGAAGTGGGTCTAGGCTAGAGACCATAGCTGACAGAGTCTGAACCAGAGTGAAAGCCAGGTGGGATTGACCGCAGGTGCTGGGCATCTGGGTCTGGTTTGTAAAGGACAGTGGTGGTGAAAGCTTCTGTCGGTCGTGGTAACCTGGCTGGATGGGAGGGGTGAGATTCTGTGGTCCGTAGAGAGTCAGTCAGTTAGTTGAGTGGGTAGGTCTAAGTGGTGAGGAGTGGGACAATTTTGTCGTGCACCTGGACACCATGGACGACTACCCGATGTACGGCTTGCTCATGGGGTTCTCCCTCTGGGGGACCCTCTGGCGTCTTCTCTTTCCACTGGGATTCTGGCACACTATTGCGTGTAGAGTAGGGACGAGGAGTGGTGCGGGCAACACTCCTTACACCCAGGCGCAGGAGGAGGAGGCATCGAAAATTCTGGCCGAGCAGAAGGCCAGGAAGGAGAAGAAGGAGTTGGTCAAGCTGGCTAAGAAGATTGCCCTGCAGCAGGAGCAAGCCGCCAAAATGAAAAAGTTACAGGAAGAGATGGAGATAGTGAAGAAGGAGGAGGAAGAAAAGATGAAGGTTGTGGACACAGAAGAGGTGGAGGAAGAGAAGGAGAAGCAGGCAGAAGCAGAAGAGATTCCCCTGATAAGAAGGTCGGTGAGAGAAAGGGGGGAATCTAGTGGCACGAAGGGGGACCCATGGATAGAGAAGAAGGTGACTGAGTGGGTTGCCAACTTGTCACTGGGGGAAACTGAGGAGGCGATGCTATACGTTCCCCTAGACGAACAAAAGGCGGTGATAAAGGAGATAGAGGCCGAAGCAGATCCTCTTAAACGTCAGATGATAGAAGAGGAGAAAAAGTTGGAATGGAGATTGCGTCTGACTAGGGAGAAGAAGAGGAGGATGGAGGAAGCTGAGAAGGTGGCGAGAGAATTAGAAGAAGTCAAACAACAGAGCTCAACTAGAAGCGCAGGCAGATATACAGGGGAAGATGGATGTAATGGCTAGGAAAGAATAGGCTTTCGAGAGTTCGCAAGGGACATGATGGTCCATGTAGGCACGGAGATGAAAGCTAGACTAGAAAACACAGAGCGATTCTGCACTGGCGCCATTGAAGGTGCCAAGTTAGCTGCGCCTAAGGAGGAAGAACGGCGTCCCCGTAGAGAGCCAGTAAAGGTGAGGTTCCCTGATCCATATAGTGGGAAGAGGGAGAAGAACTTCGATAATTGGGAGGCGAATGTGAACTCATATGCTCACTTACAAATGATTTCCCCTGAGGAACAGGTCCTCATCGCCTTCCACGCTCTTAGGGATCAATCCACCAGTTTTGCGAGATCACTCTGTCGTGAAGCCAACTGCAATAACGACATGGTCGCATACTCTCAGTTTACACCCCTGAACGACTTCTTCAAGTTACTGCGTGAAAGGTTTGCAGATGTCACACGAAGCATTAGAGCTTCGGGCAAGCTGCAGACCATCCACACTCGCCATTGGAAGAGTGCTAGGGCACTCAAAGGTGTGATGGATGAGCTGGTCGCCGTCCCATACCATGGGGTCACAGAGACCCAGTTGGTCAATCTGTTCTATCGTGCCATGCCCGAGTCTTTACGCGGGCACTTCTTTGAGAAGAGTCGGGATCCTGCCATGACCTATGATAGGTTAAGTAGGGAAGTCGTGGCATTTGAAGCGCAGTCCATGCCAGTTACCGCTTTCTGGCATAAGGACTTAGATAAGGGGAAAAAGTGGAAAGGCCGCACCATTTCAGGACAGGTCAAGGGCAAGGATCACCTGATCCTAACTTTATATGAGGGCGGCATGGAAGAAGTCCACTACGATCAGATAGACTGAGAGCTTGAAGAGGAAGAGGGGGATAATAGTGCAAGCCAGGGGAGGACGTACGCTGCTGTCGCGGCTAGAGGGAGGCCGCAAGGAAGAGGAGGAGGCTGGGGCCAAGGGGGCCAGGCTTCAGGTGGTCGAGGGCAGGGCGATCAGGGGGTTGGCGGCAGAGGTAACCGCCAAGCGGGAGGTAGGGGTCAAGGTCCCCCGCAAAACCGCTCTAGCTATAATCGGTCATCATATGGAAGAGGAGGATGGCATCCTGGGTTGCCACAGGGTAGACCGTGAGACTTGGGCTTGGAACAGAGTGTTTGGCAGCAGAGGATTGACCGAGATCAGTGCATTTACTGCGGTGACCCTGGTCATATCATAAAGTACTGGCCCAAATATAGGGAAGCCCAGCAGCAAAAGGCAACCGCCGATAGGGGTGGCAACTGCCCCTATCCCAGGGCCATGCAGGGAAGAGCGCGCGCAACAGAGAGAAACTCCCAAACTGCATGAGCCCATGGCAGAGGTTGTTGACCGATGCCTAGATAGCTGTCCGGAGACTGCTTGTGTTAGAGTCTCTCTAGGCACCTCCCTCACAGGCGTGGCAGAGGAGTTGAAGGAGAGGATGCCCGCCTGGCCAAGATGAAGAAAGAGGCAAAGGGACAACTAGTATTAGTGGATGTAGAGATTTTTAAGGGCAGAGTAGGGGCCCTTATAGATAGTGGGGCCACGCGCAGCTATATTGATAGGAAGGCGCTGCAGAAGTTGAAGTTGGGGTTGAAAGTTCAGAAGTTAGAAGACCCTATTGTTAGTATCCTCGCAGACAATCGCAGAATGCGAATCGAGGAATATGTAGAGGGAGTCCAGACATATTTTCGCCTAGAGCAGGATGGAAAGGTAGAGAAGGTCCTCCATTCCTTGACTCTCCTCGTAGAAGACAACCTCCCATTTGACATAGTCCTAGGAATGGACTGGGGAGAGGCAGCAAGGGCTACACTCCAGTTGAGAGAACATGAGTGTAGGCTCCCTAGTCCGTCAAGCGAGGTTAAGACGACCCGCCTGTTTCCTGTGTTAGGAGTAGATAACTCACTGGCGCATTGTTGTCTCAGTGCCCCCCCGTTCGCGCGATTGGTGAGAAAGGAGCAGTTAGAGGATCAGGTCTTCGTAGCTTATATCAGACATGTCACCGAGCCTAAAGAGGACAGCCCCATGGATCCAACCATCGCCAAGCTGCTGGAAGAGTTCGAGGATTTAACCGAGCCGCCAACAGGAGTAGTGTCGCGACCGATCCAGCATCGGATGGAGATAGAGTCTGGCAGTAGGACTCCTAAGGGAGCAATTTACAGAATGTCCCCAAGGGAGTTAGAGGAGTTGTGCAAGCAGTTAGACGAGCTTCTCGAGAAAGGTTGGATTAGGCCCAGTTCGTCTCCTTTCGGAGCACCGGTTCTTTTTGTCCCCAAGAAAGAGGGAGAGTTGCGGATGTATATAGACTATAGGGGTCTTAATGCGATTACAGTGAAGAATGCAGAACCACTGCCCCGTACAGATGATCTATTAGATCGGGTGCAGGGCTGCAAGTACTTTTTAAAGATAGATTTGAAGTTCGGATATCATCAGATAGAGGTTCATCCTGATGATTAGTACAAGACCGCATTCCGGACTAGATACGGGCACTATGAGTTTATGGTGATGCCCTTTGGACTAACCAACGTTGTATGAATGACTTGTTTAGACCGTGGTTAGATAGATTTGTAGTCGTGTATTTGGATGATATCTTAGTGTTTAGTAAGACCCTCCAGGAGCATGAGGGCCATCTGAGGCAGGTCTTGGAGAAGTTGAGAGAAGCTAACTTCAAGATCAACGCGAAGAAGTGCAAATGGGCCAAGACGCAAGTTCTATACTTAGGCCATGTGTTAGATGGAGATGGCATAAAGCCTGAGGATAGCAAAATAGCAGCGATCAGGGACTGGCCGACGCCCCACACACTAACAGAATTGCGGTCGTTCCTAGGCCTAACTAATTACTACAAGAAGTTCGTGAGAAACTTTTCTACGCCCCTTCGCAGATTGTTAAAGAAAGAAGCAATCTGGTGTTGGGACAAAGGCTGTACTTCGGCCCTGAAGAAGCTAAAGCGGGCCTTAATAGAGTACCCAGTCCTCAAGGTAGTCGATCCATTGCCCTTTGTTGTCACAACTGACGCAAGTCAGTATGGAATAGGTGTTGTGTTGCGACAAGATGATGGCAATGGGTATAGACCCGTAGAGTTCATGTCTGCTAGAATGCCTTCAGAGAAGGTTGCGACATCTACCTATGAGAGGGAACTCTACGCTCTCAGGCAAGCCTTAGAACATTGGAAGCACTACTTACTTGGGAGGCACTTCAAAGTCTATTCAGACCACGAGACACTGAGGTGGTTAAAGACTCAGGCCAAGATGACACCTAAGCTTACTAGGTGGGCCGTAGAGATAGACCTGTATGATTTTGAGCTCAAAGCAGTGAAAGGAAAGTACAATGTAGTTGCGGATGCTCTGAGTCGACGAGCTGATTACTTTGGGGCAATAGTACATTACTTAGATATAGGAACAGACCTGCAGCAAAAAGTCGAGGAAGCGTATGCGCATGATCCTATCTATAGCGACCTCCTTAAGAGAGTTAAGGAAGCCCCGGAGACAGAACCTCATTACCGCACTTCTGATGGGTTGCTGTTTTAGAAGACTAGCGTAGTTGACCGTTTGTGCATTCCTAACAGTGAGGAGATCCGTAGTGTGATCCTAGGGGAATGTCAGGACACAGAGGGACACTTTGGTTGGCAAAAGACTTTAGCCAACCTCTCTTGCGCGTATACGTGGTCGGGTATGAAAGTTGACTGCATAAAGTACGTACGCAGTTGCAAAGTGCGTCATAAGAACAAGACCACTACGCGAGCCTTCTAGGTCTTCTCAGACCTTTGCCTATTCCTGACAGACCCGGAGATTCGGTGTCCATTGACTTTATGGATACTGGGGTAAAGAGTAGGCATGGCAAGAGCCAAGTCATGGTCGTAGTTGATAGGTTTAGCAAGTATGCAGTTTTTGTTGCGTTGCCTTCAGAGGCACGAACATATTTAGTTATAGGAAAGTTTTTCGATCATTGAGTCAGTGAGTATGGTATACCGCTCTCAATAGTTAGTGATAGAGATACCAGATTCACTAGTCTGAACTGGCAGGAGTTGATGAGAGTTTATGACTCTAGATTGCTGATGTAATCTGGCCGTCATCCAGAGACCAACGGTCAGACTGAACAGATGAATAAGATCCTGCAGCAAGCTCTTAGGATGTATATTAGACCTGATCAAGTCAATTGGGATGAAATGTTGCCCAAGGTAGCAAGTGCCTATAATAACAGCGTGCACTTAGCCATGTGTCGCACTCCCAATGAGCTGCACAAATCCTTTAGACCACGTAGACCGTTTGAGGGACTTAATCGGGATCAGATTCATAGGCTACCGCCCGGTACTAGGGAGTTTGCGGTACAACACGAGAAAGAGTTAGCTACCATTGTTGAGAACCTCAGGAAGGCCCAACACCAAATGATAGAACAAGCTAACAAACACTGTCGCCCGTCGCAATTTCAAGTAGGCGACCTCGTCTAGGTCAAGTCTAAAGAGTTTGCTACTGAAGAAAACATTTCGCAGAAGTTACTGCCAGCGTACAGAGGACCGTGGCCAGTTCTAGAAGTTAAGGGCGGAGAGGATGGGTCGTCCTACACATTAGAAATCCCAACACACTTCCACGCCTATCCCGTGTTTCATACGTCAAAGTTGTTGCCATGTGTCACAAGTCGATAGTTTCCATCAAGAAGATCCATGATTCCTCCGGACATGGATGGAAGGTACGACATTGACGGCATTGTAGGTGAAGACGTGTTTAGAACAGGAGGTAGAGTTCATCCACAGAAACAGTACAAGGTCCGATTTGCATATCAAGAACCAGAAGACGACCGCTGGTTTACCAGAACTGAACTTATAGAAACAGCTCCCGATATAGTTAGAGCCTACGAAAGAGATAGGAAAGATAAAGGTTTTGTCTTGGACTAAGTTATTCTCGGAGGACCTCGAATTTAGATTGGCGGGAGTGAAACAGTATTCACATGCTAGCAGTAGCGAATGCAGATCCCAGGGCTCGATCCCTAGACTTTACCTTACCTGTGTATATTACCTGTGTCAACCCCGAGAGTTGAACCTCTGACATGTGTAATCGTAACAGTTGGTAGGTTGCCCTAGGGTCTGTAGGTTGTAAGCGTTCGATCTGTAAACTTGTCAAGCAGAGATCTTAGCAAGTTCTAGAAGTCATAGCTGCTACAGTCCCGAAAGACCAAGTCGTAGCTGCTACAGTCCTGAAAGGCCAGGTCGTAGCTGCTACAGTCCCGAAAGCCGAAGTCGTAGCTGCTACAGTCCTGAAAGGCCAAGTCGTAGCTACTACAGTCTCGAAAGGTCAGGTCGTAGCTGCTACAGTCCTGAAAGGCCAAGTCGTAGCTGCTACAATCCCGAAAGGCCAAGTCGTAGCTGCTACAGTCCTGAAAGGCCAAGTCGTAGTTGCTACAGTCCCGAAAGGCTAAGTCCACAGGCTTCCGGAAGGTCCAGAAGTGGCCTTTAGAGTTTCTTCTCACGTTTTACACAATAGGCCAGAGGTAAGTGGGCAAGTGGTGCGTCCATCTTCGCTTAGTCATCGGTACCCAGTCCCAGTCTCACTTTGCACAGTCAGCAAGTACCATGAGGGACTCTGTGCACCACGGGCCTTGTGGAAAGAGGCATACCAACGAGCTACAAAAGTATAAATCAAGAGGCAGCGCCCAACCATTCATTCGGCGGGGTGCCATGCGAAAGCGCTGCCCGAGCGTTTGTGCGAGGTGGGATGCAGGAGCCCGAGGTCGAAGTGGGCAGAGGGGAAGTTAGTTGTTAGTGGTAGAGTTAGCGGGCGGCCATAGCCGCCAGGTTAGTAGTAGCAGTGTGTGTGTGTGTGTGTACAGTGAGTGGCGCTTGTGGGGTATTCAGGGTGATCCAGAGTGGAGTGCGTGTGTGCGACAGTGTTGGACACCGTGACGATAATGGATGTACAGGGCGCCTGTACGCCATAGCTTGTGGGACGAAGTTTGCATCTGAATTGTGTTCGCGACTTCCAAATCTCTGAGTTTTGAGTGGGCGCCTAGCACCAGCCTGTTTGCCATCTGTTGTATGCATGCAAGTTGATCAATAAAGAGAGTCTGATTGCAAAATGCAGGAATTGAAACTAACTCCTATGACTCTAGCACGTGACGAACAACTAAAGCAACTACCTATCAAACTGAAACTCAGAGTAGTCTCACTCAGTCACATGCATGTCAAACCACAAAGGTAGCCCTGAATTGTCTAAGTATCCAAGTTTTATATAATTATCTTCACTAAGTCTTTTGAGGTAGTATATAACTGAACCGATCATTTTTAGCTCAAGATTCAATCTGCCCCTTCATACCACAAATTTACTCTTAAGTAATACTCTCTTCAGTTTGTGATAAGCTATAGCCAGACCACCCAAACTTATGGAACCCTGTCTGACTAGCCTATTCATAAGTAGGATAGTAATGAAGTATAGTCAAATTATAACCTTTTGGTTCCAGCATGGACCAAGACCACCCAAACGTATGGAACATGTCTGGTCCTCAGCCTGGTTCTTTCTCTTAAAGCCAAAGCAGGAAGAGGCTGAGTCACCCAAACTTATGGAATATGCTCAAACCTCCTCGTTCAGAACCAAAAGAAATTGAAAGAAACCCAAAGTAAACAAGGCGACCAAGCCACCCAAACTTATGGAACATGCTTGGTTCCTTAAAAGTCAATCACACTCAGCCCTCACAAGTCAGAGCAACCAGACCACCCAAACTGATAGAACATGTCTGGTTGTCCAGGCAATTCAAAATAAACATAGCACTGGGTCTCCCCAAAGTTATGGAGACTGCCCAAACTTTGATAGACCCAGTCAAACAAGTAATACTGTCTTCCTCTCATCCTTCCCCCAGATTCAACCCTACAATCTGCTTTCAATCAATACAAAAAAATTGAAACTAACATTGCGCATACCTTCCTTTATTTAGTCTAGTTTGTGTCCTGAAAGTCAAACTTAAAATCAAAGTACACGTGCACACAATACACTTAGTCAAAATATAGCAAGGAATACAGATAGTGGGTTATAGCTGGGTTTATAGAAGGAGATGAAAGGTTACTTCTCTGTTCCCTGCCTCCAGAACTCCTCCTGAGTTCCGACAGAGCTCCCACAATCGGTGGATTGACTCCCCATAGAGTCTTGTTGCGGTCCTACGGGTTGCAATCCTGCCTGCCGCCTTCCTCTCATATCAAGACTAGACTTAAAGTAAGAAGGGCAGAATTAGGGGTTTCAGACTCTCGAGATACAATTCAACTCTCAGGAGAGGGCCTCAAAATCTTTGATCGCCTGAGGACCCTGCAATGATGGCCTAACGCACAGCCACCAGTGAAACCAATGTTAAACTGTTGAAACAACCCCTCCTGAGGATTCCCCAAGTCGCAGCATTGATCTCCCTCCTTTTTAAAGAACTCAACCACTTTGCGGAGCTCGTGACTCAGGCTATACTTGCCAAGGCTCAAAGGTACCACTATGAGCCCGAAAGTACAATCTTCTTTTGCGTCACAACAAAACGGCAAGGTGGTCCAACCAACTAAGTAGTAGACATAATGCACGCAAATGGCCATGTAATCCTCTTCAAGACCTGGTAACCTATGAAACACCCGCGGACGCGTCTGCGGGGTCCAGCTCGGATGGCGGCCGTATATACGGCCGCATCCGCGGCCGACCTGGTCCGCGCCGCGGACGTGAATTTACCATATTTTTCCTGAATTAAATAATGGGTAAAAAAAAAACAACGAATATGGGGTTGTAGGGATTTTCCCTACAACCCCATATTTCGTTTTTTGAAAAAAAATAAGTTTTTAGAATTATAAAAAATAAAAAACAGAAAAGGTGGAGAAGAGAAATTCCAAAAAAAAAATAAAAAGAAGTTTTTTTGGGGGGGAGGGATTTTTGGTTGGCAGTTCTTTTTATTCTTCTTTTTACGTTTTTTTTTTTTTTTTTTT